TTAAAGAATATCTTATATATTAATTTTCTACATTAAAAAGTAAAATTCTGATATTAATTAACGAGATTTTTGATAAAATGTGAACGTATTGTTAATTTTTAAGGCATTGTTTTATAAAATTTAATATTTTTATTACTCCTATATATTAGAATAACATTTTATAGATATTTTAGTAGTGTAACGACAAAGTTTGGACATTTTTTAACCGATTTATTATCCTATATACCTATAAGAATTTTTCAATATTTGACTTAATATGAAATCTATCGTTTCTTTGATTTAATTTTGAAAATAATAAGTAATTTTGAATTGGATACATGATAAATTAGGAAATCAATGGATTTCGACCTAGAAAAAAATTTTAGTGGGGTATAAATCTATAGATTTTAACAAAAATAATCTGGGTTTTTGGTCATTTTGTATTGATAAGCAAAAACTACACTACGGAAACCCCATCTATTTGGGGAGTACTGAGTGAATTTTATTTAGAATTGTATAATATTGATTCTTATTCAATAAAGCTGTCACTAAGTATCATCCAAAGTATATTAATAAAGTAGCGACATCTCTTGTTGTACAACAACATCTACAACAACCACATGTATTTTGTTTTTGGAATAATTTAAGATTATGTCAAAATAAAATTTCCTTTAACAACAATGTGAACAAAACATAAATAAAAAATATTACTTTTAAGTTAAAAATATTAACGATTTAATTATATTATTATATATTATACAATTTATAATACTTTTAAACTTTAAAACCACTTTTAATTAACTTTTTCAACTTTTCACAAATTTTAACAAATAGCAAAACACAATTTAAAAATGCCGACGTAAACAATGTTAACAATTTTCAAAACAAACTTTGACAACTTGCTTCATTTATCTAGTTTAAAAAAATAGTCAGCTGTTCAAGTGATGCTACTTTATTAATTTACTTTGGTACCATCCTAGCCACTCTAAGTATGGGGATATCACCGTATACCACAATAGAACTATTACATGCTAGAATCTTGATATTTTGAATGCATTATTTTATGAATAAAATGCAGTAGGCGTAGTTGGATTTGGATAGTTATTCTTGATTTGGGTTCTAACTATATATAAGTGTATGTATTAGCTGAAAAATATTGCTTTTGTGGATCTTAGGTGATGAGAACAGCCTCTATTTGTAAATATCTAAATTAAGTATTTTTCCTGTACCACACGATAGTTCACTTTATATTGTTTCCAAGCAACCTAAGGCCTGTTTAGAGGTCTAAATTTTAACATAGTGTTCTTTAAAGTTCGTATATGTACTTTGGAGAAGATAAATGAGGACTTCAATGGTTTTTGCTTGGATACAGTTTGGCAGTTAAAGATTTTGCGATTTTTTAAATAATTCTTTGTGTTATTTCATCAATTTCTATATTTTATATTTTTTAATGATTGATTAAACATCTCATAATTGAATTTCATTGATTTATACTTGTTTTAAAAATCTAAACTAATTTTTTATATTGGAATTGCCTCATTATTTCCCTTTAAACATTTTTAACGCAAATAACTACACAGTTTCACACAATAAGGATATGATTTTTGAAAATTACTGGAATTTTCAATATGCAAAATACTTTATTGACGTGCAAATTCTGACGAAAAATAATAAAATGCAACAACAAATGCACCAAAATTTTTATTTTAATATTTTTTTTCTTGGTTTTTCCATTCTACACAATCTCTATTTTCAATTGGAAACATAAATTTACTTTTTAGCCGTTTTTTTTTTAAATTTTATTTATGAACAAAGAACAAAATTCTCTTAAAAAAAGGTAGGCAAAAAACTTAGTTGATTCACTGTATATCCCACTAAGTAATCACAAAGCACAAAGGCAATGATGGTCTAAGCTTTCTTTTAAGTAAAAAAAACTATAAAAAAACGTCCATTTTGAAAAAATAGAGGAAAATTAAGTGGCAAATATTGAAAAAATTTTATTTTTAAGTTAAAAAATATTTTTTTTGATAGATATCCCACTCGCATCCCATTATGGGACTATAAAGCCCTTTAAAAAAATTGTATAATGCTTTCTTTTAACCAAAAAAAATAAAAGGGCCCATTTTGAAAAAAAAATTAAAAAAATATTAAAAAAAAAAATTAAAAAGAAAAATTTTTGGGAAGAATGAAGAAATAGCTATCTGAACTCCGTTGGACAATTTTTGCTAGGACCAATAGGTGAAAAGTTACACTCATTTGAATAAAACCCTGTATGACCAAAATGTCCAAATTTGACCCCCTCTAAGTCCGGCAGTTCTTAACCGTTACAGCTGAAAATTTGTGTCTGATCTATTATCCAATAGTACTAACTAATAGGTCACTTGACATGAAATTCTACATATACATATGTATAACTAATATAGCATTATATTTATCATACATTTACACTATGAAAAAAGGAAAATAAAATGATTTTGGCCATCATTTGGTTGACAGAGAGGCATTTCCAAATTGCCTAAAAATAGTGCTGGCCAATTGAAATATATATAATATAATATAACCTAGATTATAATCTTTTTCACAAAATATAACCTTTTAAAAATTTTCTGAGATTTTATTTACAAATTTGTAAACGATAAAATTATAAATTTTAGATTTTATTTTAAAAGAAATCATAATTAGTTTTCGCTATCAACCTTTAACGAAAACTTATTGTTGGCTTATAGTAGGGTTAGCCTACAATAAAAATCTTATATTTGTCAATGGTTTAATAAAGGTATTTTAAGCTATTTGACTTTTATGAATAAATAAAATTTGTGTTAATTTACAAAAATAAATATTCATAAAGGTTTTAAAAATTAAGATGACATATAATGGAAATAGATGACAGAAAGAGAACATACATTTTAAAGATGACAGCCAGTTAAAATAGATGATTGTCCTCTAAAAAAGGCATATGGTCAGCTTAGTTATACGTATAATATATGACTTAACTCTTTGCGAAAGTATCAATTGTCAAAAAGAAATGCATGTTTTTAATCAGCAGGACAACCAAAAATATGCTCTAAAAAATAGTTTTATGCGCATAAAAAATGCTCTTATAAACTAAAAATATGCTCTAAAAATATACAAAATATGCACTTAAAATTTCCCATTTTCCAAATGAAAACACCGTTTTTACCATTTTTGTTATCTGAAAGTCCAATCTGTCGATTTAAAAAAATGTTTAACCTCTGTCATATATCCATGTTTCTTCGAGATATGTAAACCTAAAGCTTGGAACAACCATAAACTTACAAAAACTCAATGTTGCCTTTATTCTATGACAAACTTATTTGTCTCAATTTTTTAAACTTTTATTTTACTCCCGTACGGACGGAAATTTTATTTTCAATATTAATATGAAAAGCACTCAAAAATATTTAAAAACTGAGTAATTTTCATACAAATTTTAATAATAAAATGTCCGTCTGAAATACTGAATACGGGGGTTAAAACCGACAGATTGAACTTTCGAATCACATAACGGATTTTATAAATAAAGGTGTCTTCCCTCTTTTATAAGGTTTTTAATATGGCCAAAACAGGATTTTTCAGTTTTTAGGACACGATGTGACAAAGAAATTGGATTCAGATTAAGCGATGCTCAATAATTCAGAAAAGTAAACTTTGGTCTCTGGGTTTCTCTTTCAAATTTTGTCGACCTGTGTAATTTTATAGGAAAGGATTTAGATGCTTAATTCTTTTGCTTTACATTCTATTGATTTACAGCCTGTTTTTCTAAAACAATTTAGTTCTCACACGAACATTTCATTTTATTACGATCAAGTTTAAAATTAGGTTTTTATAAAACATTTGAAAGTTTTCTTTTAAAAATGTCTAAAATGAAATTAGCTTTTTCTATCGTAACAGAACATTATTGCCTACGTATTTCATTTCTGAAATTTTAAATATTTTTTCAATAAGGTGTTTGGTGTTAACCCAAAAAAATAAACAAAAATAAAATAATTTTACAAAAAAAATTTAAATTATAAAAAATGTTTTTTTGAAAACAACATGAAACTTGTATGTCTCAAGAAATTTAAAGGTTTGTATTGCAAATTGTATTCAGGTTCAAGTGGCCACATATTATTTCGTATTTTTGTATAATTTTCGTTGTTTTATGGGCAAACGAAAGGCCTTTGCCTATCGTCTATTTCTGACTTTTCATTCGTTTATAGCGAACGAATTCATTTTCTAAAAACCAAAAATATATGGAAAAATAAAGCTCTTTCGTTGCCACTCACATGAAAATATATTTTTTCGTTACAAAAACGTAAAGCCAATTTCGTTCGCTATTTTTAAGAACGAATACAAATTTTCATTTTAGAAAAACAGGCTGTTAATTTCTAAAATAAAATTTTATATTTGAAAGACAAACAAGTAAAAAATATATAGTCGGGCATGACCGACCTTATTATAACCTACACCAGTGAGTAGGTTAATATTTAAACAATTTGTTGACGGGGGCAAGGGTAAATATGGGCCTATCCTTATAAATGAGGGATTTAGGTTTATATTAAAGTTATTTATGCAGAATTTTATCGTGATACTAGTGAATTATTGACTTTCAAGACCTTTTCTGATGGGGACTTTGTATGGGGGCAAGGATGAAATGAGGCCCGATCATTACGACAATTGTCAGTAACATTTATATTTATACGCAACTAAGTTGTGCCGATTTTTGTAGAGATACTGAAACATTTAATATAATTTTGAGCTCGAGAAGCCAATTCGAGGGGTACGGTAGTAAACCGATTTCAACCATTTTAAACTTGATTAATTCTTGTGTCATCAAAAAATAAAATCCTATCTTTAGTTATTGCCAAGTTATAATAATGGGCCTTAAACTTTTAATTTCTAATAAAATATAATAAAAAATTTAAAAACATTTTCTATTCATTAATTTCCCAAAAAAAAGGTTGAAAGTTTTTATTTAAAAATTTGAAAAAGTTAGGTGTAAAGAACGAAATATGCAATAAAAAATTGCGATTATGAGTAAAATATGCGGAAATATGCTGTAAAATTTAAAATATGCAAAAATATGCTGTAAAGAACAAAATATGCAAAAATATGCTCTTATAAATCGATGCCAAAATTCGTTAAATTGTCTGAAATGGATAAATAGCCAACTCGTGTGTCCATACGACGCGCAGCAAAAAATATGATATTGCATATTTTTGGTTGCCCTGGTAATCAGTAACTCAAATAACTTCTAAATAGTGCGATTTAACAACAAAATACAAGGGTCCATCTGTAAAACTATGAAATAAAATTTTACATAGTTTTATTTTTTTATTAACCTAAACCACATTGGTGAGGGTATTATGCGTTTGTGCTGCTGAATGTAACGTCCAAACATATTGGCTCTTAAAGTATCTGCTCAGAATTGCTTTCTGAGTCTGTCCATCCAGATAACTTGATGAAATTTGGCACACACATCTCTCCCACCCTAGCCCATACAAAATATCCCTCAGAAAATGGATTTACGTCTATAATTCACTTAAAATCGTTACCTCGCGTTAAAATTCAAAACAAATATAATTTATACAAAAATAAATCCATTCACCAAATTTTATTAGGATCAGGACCCACTCCCACATATAAACCCTCTTTCAAGCGTACGAACGCATTGATCACAAACAAAATAAAATGCCAAACCTAATATTCAAATCATTGTCCACCACTTCTTCGAACGGTATCAATGGCAATAACAATTTCTCGAGCAGTTCAATATTGCTACGGAATTTTATTGAAACAAATTCGGACTGCGGTGCTAATGCAGTGGAAAGATGTAAACCGCCATTATATTCAAAGCGTAAGTATTATTTATATTGTATTACATATTACTTTATAACTTGAACGAGACCATATACACATGATACTAGAATACATATAAACTTTATATGTAAAACTGAAAACGCAGTTTTACTTTATATTATAAAGTAAAACTGCGTTTTCATTTTTTTCAATTTTCTGATCTTTTCTTCTTTTTAAAGGACTTTAAAGTTTGAAGGATACAGAAATTATTAAAATATTTACATATATCCATTAGTTTTCAATATGGGTATCAAATGAAAGAAGACAATCTCCGGAAATTAAAACTATTTTTTATTTTTCCTTTGAAAATTTCATTCTTTTTCATTCTTTACCATATACACTGACGAACTAAATTAATGGCACAGAAAGCACATTAAACATTTGTTTGCTTTATTGGTCATATAGAAGAGATTTTTAATAAAGTTTTCCACAAAATTTACTTTTTGTGTGATTTTTGAAATAGTTATTAATTAAGTTTTATAATCCAAATTTGTTTAAAATGAAGATTTTCTTAGCGAAAAAAGATTTTTTTGTTTAATTTCAAGAATTTTGTAGAAATTTATATGGCAACGCTGGCAATAATGTCAATTAATCAATTGTGAAGTTTAATGTAATTACTGTGCCAATAATTTAGTTGAGCTGTGTACATAAATTTTGTTGTATAGCTTTATTACATAAGCCGCAACCAATCAATGTTAGTTAAATACTGAACATTACTTTTTGGACTTGAACAAAACCAAATATGTTTGAAAGCTGAGATCGTATACAGAAAAACTGTGTACTCAGTTTTCCACTTTCTGATCTTTTCTCCTTTTTAAAGGACATCGAAATGTTTTACTTATGACTTTGTCATTTTGTTTGCACATTTTATTTGATTGCGAGTTTAGAATTGTGTTTTATAAAAAAAAATTCGATGTAAAAACCATTATTTGACGCGCAAGCAGTGGTTTAGTAAGAGAACATTTGACTAACCTTGTAAGTGTGCGCAGTAAATACTTGTCTACAATGACATCACCATATTAAAATAATGAGCTAAAATATCAATGAGTAAGTAGTGAAAAGCTACTACACCATTTCCAATTGAATTTCAGTAATTTCTAATTATATTTCAGAAATTTCTAATTATATTTCAGAACTTTCAAATTCTCTTTCAGAACTTTCCATTTGTATTTCAGAATTTTCCATTTCTATTTCAGAAATTTTTAATGGAATTTTCATGTAAAATTTCTGAAATTGAAATGAAAAATTCTGAAATACGAATGGAAATTTCTGAAATACAATTGTAAATTGTGTAGTGAAAAACATAGTATACAGCAAAAAGCTTGCATTTCTGAGAATATTTATTTCTACTTGGGCGTGTTACTTCGCCTTCATTAAATTTCGAAATAAAAAGTAACCTACAGTTCCTCCAGAAAAACAGAAAAATTTTATGAATGTGGGGGACGTAAAACATGGATGTTTGGTATAACTTCTTATATCTTTACGATTGCCAAATTCATATAAGCTTTAAAAAAAGTCCTACCTCTTTCCAGTATGAAACTATAAGAATCTGTCTGTGGGATATAGTGGGATTTTATTCCAACTGGCAATTCTTTGCGATTTTCGGTAAAACTGACTTTTTGTATGTTCTTTAAATATTCCAAAATTTAGCAAATATCGTTAAATATTGGAGAATAAAAATTAGAAAATTAGATCCCAACCATCTTAAAATCAATAAATTTACATTATTTTTTGCAAAATGTATCTTATTATGGATTAATTTAAATTAAAATTTAAAAACTAAAAATTTTTAAATTTTGGTTTTTTTGGCTGTTCTCGGATGGGTACAGCGGGACAATATGGGTACAAATACAAATAAATAAAAAAAATTATAACCAATTTTAATTATTTTTTTAATATTTTGGTACTTCCCTACATGCATCAAATCGAATCAATTAGTATTGAGAATTTTTCCATTTGATTAGTTATGAAATGTATTGAAATTCCTGTGAATTACCGTATTCAGTGCACTTTTTCGACACTTTATTGATATTTGTACTGAAATAAAATAATTCGAATTCATCAACTGGGATGTATTCTTCACTAACACTACAGTTATGCAATGTCCATTCACCAAAAATGTTGTCTGGTAGATCCTAATTAACTGTATTTATCAATTCCCTTTTCATCAATTTCTTGGCAATATTTGGAAATAATGAAAAAATCACAAGGTGAACTGATTTTATTATAAAGATAATCAGTAGCACCTACAAGCCTTCTAAATTTTTCACCAAAAAAGATATAAACATCCTTAAAAGATAATTTAGATATGTATATGAACAAGTAAGAGTGCTATATTCGGCTGTGCGAATCTTATATACCCTTCACCATAGTTTATTTAAAAAGTATAAATTTTATAAAATTTAAATTTATTTCATTTTCCCGACTATATCATTATTATAGCAATAGCTAAACAAAATAAACAACAACACGCAAAAAACAAAATACACAAGGCAGTAAAACCAACAGACATCCAAACATACGAAACTGAATACACCAAGAAACAAAAACAAAATACACATGGCAATGAAACACACAGCCATTCAAATATACGAAACGAAATAATCAAAAAACAAAATACACAACGCAATGAATAAGCAGTGTTGTTGTTGCTTATTTTTTATGAAATTTTCAGAGGTTGTCTCGGATATACTTTATAGGGTCGGAAAATTATATTTTGGAAATTACAAACGGAATGACAAACTTATATATACCCTTCTCATGAAGGTGAAGGGTATAAAAATAGGCATGGGTGGTCCCATTGTACCCAACCAAGCTACTACACCAATATTTAAGCTTATAAAAATAAACTTAAAAAGATATTTTTTTTATCATTTTTTAATAAAATCCTAATGGGCTGATTTGTTTACGTTAGTTTTCAGTAAAATTCTTATTCATTCAAATATATGAAATGAAAGATGCGAAAAATAGAAAAATTTAAAAACTCTGTTGACAAAAAAATTATTTAAAATTTACCGTTATGTATTTATGACTTTATAATTCGGTAAATGTACCGATTCTAAAGTAATATTCCAAAAATCAAATTTTACTAAAAACTCAGTAATATGGATAATCTAGCAATATAAAACTGGTTGTTTTTTACCCAAGCGAATACAGTGGGAACGAATGAGTTAATTTAATTAGTAACTCAAATTTCGTCACCTGAAATGCACTTTTAAAATTTTATAGGAGAGACAATAATAACATAATTTAAATGAAAACTATTATTGTACTAAAAACGAAATTTTCTTACAAGTATTATATTCCAACACGTTTGAATATAACTGTGCCGCCAGACAATGTCTATTATGTTGCTTTTTAAGACTTTCTGCTTGTGGAAATCACTAATTTGATGTTAGGCCCTTTCGAATTTCATGTCAAAAAATTCGGTATAGAGTTCTAAAAATTTGCGACAACATGTATTTTGATCAAGAAGTCAATATCAAACTTTTTGGTTGTTACGCCTTTTTGCATTTCAGGTGACTATTTATAAATTTGAAATATATGTATCCAGAGGTTCAAAATTTTTGTCCCGGCGTTAATATTTGGTGAGCTGGATCAAAGGATAAAAAGGTCCTTTTTTTTGGGTTTTTATGATTTTTTTCATATTTCTTCCAAAGGAAAGATATGAAATATTGGTATCATTAGAAAGGTCCTTGAGTGACGCTTTAAATTTCATATCAGAAATTTTTCGTAACAACCAAAATAGACGAAATTTTATAATTTTTCGGGAAATTTTCAGATTTTAATATATATAATTCGTTAAAATTAATACATAATAATCCACAATAAAATCTACGGAAACGGTTTTTTCCGTTTTTCAAAAAGTTTATATGAATTTATAGACCCCTATGTACGCTACCAAAATATTGCAACACAATGTAAACAACAAAATAAACATCGTTATTAACAAAGCAAGCAAACAAAAAGTTGATGCTTAGGATAAATTGTGTTCATATTTTGGTTAAACTGAAAAATTTTATCTAAAATAGAATGAAACATAAAGTACTTTATAACACGTTTTATATAACAATGAAAAGCTAATAAACTGCGTATACGGATGTACATTACCTAAAGTGCTCCAAAAAAACTAAGTTGCGAATTTTACCCGTCCCCTCTCTAGAATTGTTCTATGGGTTGTAAAACTATGTCATAAAAAAAATTAGGCTGATATGATAACGTTAACAGGTGCCACAACGGTTTGCACTTTATTGTGAAGGAATCGCAATGTACACATAATAAGCATTTCGGAAAGATATAAAACACAAATCGTCGCCCGGTTGTTTAAGTGCTCTATACGCCATTTTGACAATTTTGAGTTAAGGACGCTTCTATAGGTTTTCGACCCCAAATTTTTCAAATCTGCAATCCGTCAAAACAGAACTTTTTTGTGTCATTTTGCTCTATACGCCAATTAATGGCATATAGAGCAAAATTTCAATACAAAATCTTGAAATTGATTTGTGCTGAAAATTTTGCTCAATATGAAAATTGTTTAATACTAATATTTTTCAATATATTCTTCTGTTATAAGTAATTATTTGGTAATTATTTATGTATAGAATACTGTTGTATTTTACAAATAAAACTAAATAAATATATATCGTTCATATACTACAAGATCAGCATAATCGAAAAAAGTCTTAAGGGTTATTACTTTTTTGGACGGCAAAATACCACAGCACTACCTTATAGCCAATACTGAACTGTTCTGATAATAAAAGGCAATTTTTGTCAGACCATTTACAGGTCAAAAGTATTATTCAAAAATTTTCTGAGCCTGGTCATTTACAAATCCAAAAAGTCGATTGCGTCGACAGTGCTTTAGACAAATATCTGAAACGTTTAGAAATTGATAGTATTTTGTCACTCGTTAATTATTTGAAAAATTTTAAAACAAATAAGATTAAACTTAAGATTGTAGAAATGCAATTTTCAGATTTTATGAATTTTTCTAAG